ATAGAAAAACTAGCAGCCAAACCTATTTTTAGGAATTTTGATTTTCTAGAACAATAACTAGAACAACCCAGAACAACAATGAGTCAAAAAAACCGTTTTTTCTCGCCGAGTTTTTATTTTTTCTATTTGCCGCTTTGGAGCAATGTAGAACAACTCTAGAACAACAATGAAAAATTTAAAAATCAAAAAATGGGGGCGAACTTCCCGCATTCGCTTGGGGATAGACATTTTTTTCGCAACTCTATTAGGGAATTTAAGCGCTTACTTAGTGTCGCTTCCACTTCCTTTGGTCCCCTATTCTGATTTTGTTGGCTCTTATTTTGTTTTATTTTATTATTATTATTATTTTTGTTTTTATTTTATTTGTTATGCTATTGTTATGTTTATTGTTATCTTTATAGTTATGTTATTTTTGATGATGATGTTTATATATTTTTGTTCTATTTTTTATTGTAATTTTCGTGGCACCGTTTTTTCTGGGTTTGTCCTGTTTTGTGCCCAACTTGGTGTGTAAAAATAAAATAAAAAAATAAATTCGGTAGGTGCAAGAAAAGATTTTTTTTTAAAGTTATTAATAAATTGTTCTAACTGTAGCTAAATTAATGTCTTCTATTCATACTATAAATATATTATTCTAAATTTAGCGGAGGTTACATCTACTACTTGAAGTTACTTAATTTACATAAAAATGAATTCAGAGTATAATGGAGTGCTGCTTAACCGTGTTAATCGGGGGAAAATAGAAACCGGATAATCGAAAACAACGGTTTTCAAATTATTGAAACAATAATGTTTAATTTTTGTTCTAAGAAAAGGTTAGAGAATTGTATAATGAAAGAAATAAACTGGTGTAAAACAACGTTCTTTACTATAAAACTAAATAATAACAAAACACTTAATTATTTTTTAAAAAGTCGGTTATTTTTTACTTGTTTTCTTTTCTGGTTATTTATGTTTTGTTTAATATTTGTTATGAAAGTACGAATCTTTTAAAATGTCTATATCATCTTGCTGTTCCATAAAATTTAAAAAAGTTTCAGCATCTGCTAGTGCTTCCTTACAACTGACTTTGGATTGTAGTTCTAAGGTGTCATCTTTTACATGATCGTCTCTACTTTTTTGGAATGAACTCGGTTTAGAGATTGGTTTGGTGACACTATCGACTAGATCATCGTCGACCATGTGTTCACAGTCCAAAACATTCGAGTCAATATTTCGCCACTCCAGAATATTTTCGTCATCCAGTTCTTCACAGACCTAAACATTTTTTAACGATTGAAACACATCTAAAGGTTCATCAATTTCATGTTCTTCAACTGATTCATCTCATAAAATATTGTTAAAACATTTTCCCAGGCATACGATATGATGTATACAGCATCTCGAAGCGTAATTGAGTTCCAAAACTGTAAAGGAACATTGTTGTCTTCTTCATTTGTTGCAATTACGTCCTAATCCATGGGTCGCATTTGGCTGACAACGCTTCAACTGGCGGATAAGATGGAGCATTATCAAAAAGCAATATTGCATTTTGAGCGAGACTTTTGCAGTCCATATATTTTTTTATGTGTGGAACAAATTTGTTTTTAAGCCACGTTTCAAAAATGTCTCGTGTCATCCACGCAGAACGGTCGTTATAGTATCCGACCTAGAGTTTTTTTTTGTCTTTTAAAGCTCTAGGCGACTTTGATTTCCCTACTATAGCTAATTTCAGCTTATATTCTCCACTAGCATTTGAGCAACATAATACTGTAATCCGATCTTTATTAATTTTATAGCCAGGAGAAGTTTTTTCTTTACCAGATGCTAATGTACGAGTGGGCATTGTACGCCTATAGAGGCCGGTCTCATCAGCATTGTATATTACAGATACTACAAAAAATTGTAGCCCCAACATTGTCAGCACTAAGGTGTTCTCGTTGAATTTACAATTCTCTCTGCCTTTCTTTAAAACGTCGTAACCAACCTGATGAAAGTGTAAGTGTTTCGGTAATGTGTAACTTTTCTGCAAAAGTATGGTGCTTTAGCTAACAGACGGACCGGACATCGGCTCTCCTAATGCTCTTTGCTAAAAACACCACTTCATCATTACATTTTCCAGTTGCTCACTCTTCGCACCTTTCATTGTTTTCCTATGTGTAGGGCCAGGTGATGTTTCACACATAGAAACGAATGTTTCCAATTTGGGCTGCTATTTCACTAAATCACGTACGGTTTATGGTCCATTACTACAGTACAACAACGCGCTACAGTACAGTACCTACAAAAAATTAGGCGTGAGTACTTAAAGAATTTGTTATTAAAATTAAAAAATATATAAATCTCAAGCACGGTTAATCCGAACTCCGGTTAAATGGTTCACGGATAATCGGCACTTTACTGTACTTACGACTTAGGCAAAGATTTTAGGATAAATGTTACAATATTGTCAATTAGGAGAGAACTAACCGCTCGTTATATATGGAGGGAACTGTGTAGATCACAAGACAAACATTGAATAGAACTCTAACAAGTTGGTACAAGTCTAAATCTGTTCCTTGAATATAGCCGAATTTAGACGGGAATCACACACTCTACTAGGACAACCACTTGTTGTAGGAAGACAAAGCATCTCATCAGAAATTTTCGTATAACACGTAAATTCGTCGATTGAAAGATGATTTACTCCTTCCATTAATTCAACAGTTTGGATAGTTTTTAGAACATTTCTAATCGTAATTATACGAATATCACATGATAATGATATTGGAATTAACATTTGCAGTAGTTTATGACCATTTTTACCATAAAGATTAAGAATGATTAGGTAGAAAAATTTGTACAAATACTTAATTTATTTCAATGAAAAGCAATTAATTTTCAAAAATACAAATCTAAAGAAATAGAGAACATTTCCTTTGGTTTCAAATATAGTTTTATTCTAATCATTTCCGGAAAAATGTAGTTTGACAATAACGCAAATTCTAAATTTATTCTAATTCGTGAACCGTCTTTTCCATCGATTATAAAATAAATATTAATTTGATTTAATCAGTTCTAATTCTAATGGCGACTTTTTCATGCTGGCATCAATCATAGTAAATATAAACTAGTTATTAACATACTTAATGAATTTGCTAATTTTTTATTTTGATTGTTGTAAATTAAAATTGTAAATAGCATAGTTACGCCTTTCGATATATTCCCTGAACACGGTTTTCTTTTTATAAATTGGTCTTGCACATAAAATTTAGATGAATATAATTTACACACTTCAAGGGAAAATAGATTCTTTATATTCGTAAATGGTTACTAATAAATGTAGATTTCGTTTTGTAACAAATTTAATGTTATTAAAATTATTTATTGTACCATATTTTAAAATTATTATGAAAATTGTTTTAATTTTTATTTATCTCACATTATAAAGAATTCAATACCAACCTAAAAATTGACGTTAATTATTAGTCCGTGCGTGGTATTGTTTAATTTAACTCTTATACCTATTAGAAGAGTCTTTTTTTAAAATAGATTTAGGTATCTCTCTCAGAGTGGTACGAAAATGTTGAGAAGTAAATTTTTTTAATAATTATTTTTGTATTAAACAATGTATTAATCAATAGATAAGTATTTACATTACCTAGTTAAATAATAATAAGTTACACAATAATGTGGGACGCACCTAGAAATTCAATAAATTGCAACATTGACTTTGGAGCACGACATTGTTCGCAAATGAATTTACTACGAGATTACTCTGTTTCGCAACGCATTTCTTCTCACAATCTTGCTTGAGATACAATTAGAACCGAACAATAGGAAATTGTTGTGAAAACAAAGTAATTATTTTGCTCGAAAACTAGTTTTAACAAATAGATAGTGTTAAGTTATTTAAGTATAGAATAAAAATAGCATGAAAATCGAATTACGGTACTGTAGAAAACTTGAAATTAGCCATGGATTACGTCCTGACCGTGACATATAAGAGTCAAAGGGACAGGTCCTTGACCAAGAAACGGCTTCCCCCTGAAGCAGATAACCATCGACGATAATCCGTGTCGATTCCGCAGCTGTTTTCGTGAATTAATTATAGTTGGATTGGTATGCGATCGTGCATGTTGTGCTATTGCGGGCAGACCATGTCCTTGATTATCCCGGATTTGTACCATTAATGTCCCAGTTCTCGTACTGATTAACGTGTCGGATCGCGCAATTTCAAATGCGGCTTCATAGATAGCGTCGAGGGTTTCTCTCTGATTCTAATTAACGTGCAAATTATTTATACACTTGATTAATTATTTTAATGAATCCGACGGCGCGGTAAATAAGAAAACTCAAACAGAATAATTTAAAACTTTTTCTTCTTTTATACGTAAAACGGAAAACTTTAAACGGCAAAAGATATAAATAAACAACAAAATAGTTGAGGTGTTTGTTTAAGGTTCTTATAATTTAAAATTCTTTGTGAGAACGATGAGAATGAATAGAATCAAAGTTACTTAACATGTGCCGGAAAATAGTAAACAAATCGACATCGAAGGCCGTACTTTAAATATACTGTTGTTATCAAACTCACGTCAATGCTAAGTTCGCATTAAAATTTCTAGACATTAATCTTAATTTATTGAGATTTATTAATGATTTGGTTTGATTACTAAATAAATCTTTTTTTTTGTGTTTTATACTCAAAGTCGTACGTGGATTTAAAATGATTGAGAGGTTTTTAATTGAGCGATTTTTACAAACTCACTTTTATTTTAGTTTTTTTTTCATAACATTCATAACCATAAAGGAACCTATGAATAGCCGTAGGATATAAAATACAGTAACAGACTTTCGAACCGTCGACGTGAGTCGTCTGTGTATACACACAGTGTCGAGTGCAATCCAATACATTCGCTTTCGTAATAAAACGGCTCCTTTATACTCGTCCGCGAAACCCCGGCAAAGCCCGCAATCTCCTTATTTACTTTTCCAAACGGATTCTCTTCATATCTTTTTTTTGACTTTCTTCTTTCCAGAGGATTCTTGACCGGTGCAGCCTCTGGGGTTTCAACGCGTTCACATTGGAAACAGTAGCAGGTGGCCGTTCTCTGCCCGTCCTTTGTGTCCATCTGTTTCACTGGTATGGGCTTCTAGACTACTTCAACTTGGACGTCGTCCGCGTTTGGAAGCTATTCAGTAAGTGTAATCGAATCGTCTCCGTAGTTCAATAATCTTGTTTTCGTCAACGGGTATTGTCCGTCCAAAGAATGGCAGAATAGTGAAAGGACACATTGTCCCTGGTGGTTAGCATGTTTTAAGCTCCCCAGGGATATTGTCACGGTTAAATGAAATAACCTAAAAGGGATAACGATGACCTAATTAGATAAGAATTTATAAACATGAATCATTTTTCAATTAATTTTACTTAGAACTGAAAGGATTTTTTTATAATATGACTAAAACTGCAGAAATCAATTAATTCTGTAAAACCACAATTGATATCTACAATTTTAAGAAATCTATTGATAAACAGAAGCTAGAAAAAAACTGATAACTTAAAGTGCGATTTTTACACAGAAATATACAGTGTGCGGCAAAATTATAAAATAAATTCGTTGCTTATAAACATTATTTTACTCAAACAACGAATCAAGTCCATTTTGGAACACACATTTTATATACATTTTATGATGTCATCAACAAATTAATTTATTATTATTGTTAAGCGTTTTATTGACCCGTGTGAAGTTATCCATAAATTCCATCCATAAAAAAACTTTTTTGTTTGTGTTTCGATTTTAATGATTAATAATAGTAATTCCCAAAAGAGGATATGAAAATTGTTAAATTTATTAAATTATTTCGGTGCTACATGTTTCGACAGTACATTGTCTTCATCGGGCACGACTAAGAATAATAAACAAAAAAACGAAAAACATGTTAAAAGGTAATTAAAATTACTATGATATCAAAAAATATAACTATTAATTACAAAATAAACATTTACCGTCAATTTGGAAGAATACGAGGATGAATAGTAAAAACTGTCCAAAAAATGAAAAACCATCAAAGTCAACAGCGGCGGACCATTATGGTAAAAACAGAAGGGAGGGAAAATGTTAAAAAAGGGGGGTCTGGAGATTATATTCTTATATTAATTATTCCTTCAAAAAACTACTCAAAAAACTTTTTTATGTTGAAATTAAATACAGGGAGTATGAAAAGGGATAAATGATTATTATTGTAAATTAGTGAAAGGATAATTATTCTAAGTTATGGAGTTTAGGCAGAAATAAAATTCTGAAAAAGGATAATACGAGGAATAAACTTGAGAAATAAAAAGAACAGATGGCGACTTACGTTCATCGTCAAAATTGGTTTATGTAAAACTAAAAAACCGGAAAATGTGAAAAGAAATCTTAACGTATAATAAAATAAAATAAAAGAAAAATGTTCTTCATGGAACGAAAACTGGAAGAGAAACAAAGAAAATCAACAATTAAGAAAAGAAAAAATGGGGGTGAAACTTACCAAGAAACATAAAAATGAATTTATTCTTAACAGTTCACATGTTTACGTTGTACTGAGGGTAAGAAAATAAGACAAAGTTGAGCTTGCGTAAAAAGATGGGAAGTAAGAAAATGGGGGCGGTAAGAATAATAAATTCAAAATTATTAAATAACTTAGAATTATCCTTTCACTAATTTACAATAATAATCATTTATCCCTTTTCATACTCCCGGTATTTAATTTCAACATAAAAAAGTTTTTTGAAGGAATAATTAATATAAGAATATAATCTCCAGACCCCCCCTTTTTTAACATTTTCCCTCCCTTCTGTTTTTACCATAATGGTCCGCCGCTGTTGACTTTGATGGTTTTTCATTTTTTGGACAGTTTTTACTATTCATCCTCGTATTCTTCCAAATTGACGGTAAATGTTTATTTTGTAATTGATAGTTATATTTTTTGATATCATAGTAATTTTAATTACCTTTTGACATGTTTCTCCTTTTTTTGTTTATTATTCTTAGTCGTGCCTGATGAAGACAGTGTACTGTGGAAACATGTAGCACCGAAATAATTTAATAAATTTAACAATTTTCATCGTCTTTTGGGAATTTGTATTATCTTTTTACGATGAACTTAGAATCAATCTTAGCCAAAATTAATGATTAATTTCATTAGAAAGATCTCGTAGAATTGAGTCTAACATAGTTTTGACGGCGCAAATTTTGGACGGGAATACCTTAAATTCCGCAAAAAAAAGTAAAATATATAAGAAAATTCTCTAACTTTAGGGTCCCAAAAATTGAAAACTAATTAACATAATATCAGGTATGATTACCAAATCAGAATGCGTATACTGTCTTCTACACAAAAGTGAATTTTGGTCGTCGCTAAATCATATGGGTAATTAGAAAAGTGCAACAAAACTCGAACCTGTTTCCAGACGCCACCCAGGCGGTTCTTTGAAAAGCAAAATCACGTCCATAAGTATAACCTTTTTGTTAATGGTCCGATTTAAGTGTGCAATACCTTTTTGGAAAGGGTTCGTCCTGTAGATCATGTCATAGTAATAGCGGGGCGAAATTCTAACAATAACAGTACTTAAACGACTAAGAACGTTATAAACAATCATATCCATAAATATAACTTTTTTGTTAATTGTCCGATTTTAATGCGTGATACCTTTTTTTAAAGGGCTCGTTCTGTAGATCATATCATAGTAATGACGGCGCGAAATTCTAACAATAATGGTAATTAAACGAGTAAAAACGTAATAAACAATCATACCCATAAATATAACTTTTTTGCTAATTGCCCGATTTTAATTTATGATAACTTTTTGGAAAGGGCTCATCCTGAAGATCATATCATAGTAATGGCGGTGATAAATTCTAACAATAACAGTATTTAAACGCAATTAAAAACGTTATAAATAATTATATTCTTAGTCCTTTAAATTGTTAGTAATTGTCCGAGTTTTATAATAAGTAAAAACACAATATATTAATAAAATACTATAGTTCATTATTATTAATGACAAGTTAATTGTGTAATATACAGGGTGTTTCATAATATATGCGCAAGACTTCATGATGTGATAGCTTGTCCGAGAATTTGAAAAAAGTTTCTATCAACTTACCCTCTAAAATGCAGCATTTACGAGATACAGGGTGTTGAAATTTAATAAAAAAAATCGTTTTTTGTGAATATCTCCGGAACCGTTTATCGTACAGAAAACAGCGTTTGTAAGCACTTTCTACTCATAATAAGCTAAGTTTTGCGTGAGAAAAAAATTTTTTAAAATTATAATTGGTGAAGATTTTGAAGGGGTAGTGGTTGTTTTTCTCCCCAATTTCTGCGCCACTGGAAAAAGTATGGTTTTGAGACGCCCATTTGAACCGTCAATGTTTTCTACACAAAAAAGGTACTGAAGGTGAGCTCTAAAGTTGACCGTTTTCGAGAAAAATCAACTTTTATATTGAATAACATGGTCAATTTTTTTAAATAAAAATTTTATTTTACTAAAACGTTAGAACAAGTAACAAAAGCAAACAAGTAAAAAAAACAATTATAAATCATACACAGTTAAATTAAATGTTGGAAATGTCCGCCGTTAGCTTCAATACACGTAGCAATTCTTCGACGTATTGCCTGTCTAACATCCAGGAAAATTCTCGGAGTGTTCCGAATTATGTCGCAAGATACAATAATGCGCTCTCTTAATTGGTCAACAGTTTCAACTGGAGTAGCGTAGACTAGGGTTTTCAGATGAACTCAAAAGAAAAAATCTAAACAATTACGTTCAGGAGATCACGGTGGCCAAGGGTGCGGACCTCCTCGACCGATCCAACGGTCTGGGTATTCGTCGTCCAAGTATTGGCCAGCAACCAAACTAAAGTTCCGGAGCTCCATCATGCATAAAGTACATGTTTTGTCTTACTTGAAGTGGTACATCTTCCAGCAGTTCCGGCAGTACTTCTTCTAGAAATTGTCGATAATCTGCACCGTTTAATCTGTTCGGTAAAAATGTGGGCCTATCAAATGATCACCAACGGCAGCCCAAACATTTACGGAAAATTGTTGCTGATGATGGCCTTCTGCAATTTCATGTTGATTTTCTTCTGCCCATATGTGATTATTGTGAAAATTGAAAATACCATCCTTCGAGAAAGATGCTTCAGAACTTCCTCTCCAAACTCAGTATTTTGAGCTATTTTGTCTTGCATCCATGTACAAAAGCCAATCTTGGTGAAAATCTCTTGACAATAAGGGTTGTACTCTTTGGATATGGTAAGGATACAAAGTTGCCTTTTCAAAATTCTCCAAACCGTCGAGTGAGACAGATTTAAGTTGTGAGCAATTTTTCAAGGTACTTGTGGTCGGATTTTCATCAATTTCGTTGAGGACAACCTCTTCTACTTGGGGATTTGTAACTTCCATAGGCCGCCCATTATCAGCAGTATTCCTTTTAAAACTTCCATTTTGCCATAGTCGTCGGTGAATGCGAAAAAACAAGTTATGGTGTGGTACAGGGCGATCAGGATGTTTACATAAATTTTGTTTAATTGTTAAATAAAATTTTTATTTCAAAAAATTGACCATGTTTTATTTAACATAAAAGTTGATTTTTCACCTTCAGTACCTTTTTTAGTTCCTTCAAAACATTCACCAATTATGACTATAAACAAAATTTTTGATTATGAGTAGTAAATGCTTACAAACGCTGTTTTCTGTACGATAAACGGTTCCGGAGATATTCGCAAAAAACGATTTTTTTATTAAATTTCAACACCGTGTATCTCAAAAATAGTTTAGAGGGTAAAAGAGGGTAAAAAGTTTAGTTGGTAGAAACTTTTTTTCAAATTTTTGGACAAGCTATCACATCCTGAAGTCCTGCGCATATATTATGAAACATCCTGCATAATTTTTCTGTAAAGATAATAAGTATCTAAAATTCGCTACAACAATTTGTATAAGAAGTCAACTATTAAAATCTAATTTAAATGTAGCTACATTTAGTTGCTACATTAAATTGTATATAAAAATTCATCTCACATTTTTATTGTATCGTATAGGGCCGTTACTCTCAATCGAATAGAAAGACCGTCTTTCAAAAAATCGATAAACTGTAAAAATAGAAGGACTGGTAACATTTTCAGATCCTAATATTGTTTAATTTTTGCAAT